ATATGCATTTCGGACTCAATTGTAATTTAAGTCCCTCTTCAGTACAAACTCAGATTCTGTTTTCTAAAAACCTCGGTGTATAATTGGTAACGTTGGAAAAGATTAAAAATACAGCCATTTAAAAAACACTTCAACTACATATTCACATTAATACGTTGCACACTTTACAAATGTTCATAAAAACCTTTACAATTACAACTTTTTTCAAGAAAAATTCGTATGCACTTTATTGAAATGTTGCAGCAATAATGAACGTTTTTTTCAGGTTAATTACTATTAACACACTTAAGAGGATACATTCACACTTTTACAATATATTTCACTTTAATATTTTATGTAACAAGACATTACAAACCAATTTATCTATTAGCGCCCTCTATTATATTATACCACATTTGGTCTATTTGCATACCATTTGAAATGTTTATTAAATCATCTTTACATTTTATAATTTCAATATGTTCTTTAAATTTGCGTTTATACATATCTTTTTCTAAGTGAATTATTTTTATGTTATTTCTATCTATTTGACAAACCAATAAAAGAAGTTCCTAACATGAAAGCTGTATATGATAATCTACCGAACTGAAAATCGGATTAAAGAGAGACATTCACGTAGTAAAATATATATAAATATAAATCGCAAATCAGTTAAATTTATGGATTTTTATAAATGGACTACGAAAAATAATGCTGATTAAGAAAGCAATAGCAGGTTTTCAATATCGGCATAAACGTATACGTTACTTTGAAGTCGGTCAAAGAATTTTGAGAACAATTTTAAATTACGATAGGTAAAATATAATAGAACAATTACGTGGTATATCACTATAATATAAATGAAAAACTTTAAATAAAATAAAAATATTATTTTGAATTTCATACACTGTACTTTTTTTGTTGTAATGTTTATAACGTACCAGTACGTAAATATGTTTGTTAATTACAAAATAATATTAATAAATGAGTTTAAAAAATAATTTTCTTATTTTAATATTGTGCAGTTATACCTTTTCATTTTAAACTCCTTTTCGGAACCAGTTTTTTTTTTAAACCATATTTTTCTCAAATAATTTTGATCTATGAAATAAATGAAAATATTTATTAATTAACTGACTCGTTTTTGCAATGAAAAATTTTAGTATAATTTCTACACAATTTTGTAATTTTACACATTAAAAGTAAACACAATTAAAAGTGTGATTTTTTAAAATATTTTATGTTTAATTGGTTTTTTAAACTTATTTCTCAAAAAATATCCTTTCACCTATCATTTGAATGTCGCCAGATCCAGACTGGGTCTTCTTTCTTTTAGGATACGCATTAAATACTTTGATTGATTATTACATCATAAACATTTTACGGTTATATACTGTACGTACTGTACATTCGCATTGGCTCCGTCTAAAAACACCCCAGCAGAACTTGCGTAATTCCTCATATATTTTTAGACCTTATTTTCGATTATCTGTTTCGCTAAGAACTTATTTCTACCGTATTTCACAAAATATGAATACTCTAGAACAGCGGTCGGCAACCTTTCTCACCTCACGGACCACTAAAGTCACAATTTTGAATCCCGCGGACCATTATCATGAACTTTTTTAAACGATACAAAATCTATAGAATAATGATCACAAAAGTTCAATTTTACTAAATTAATATGAAACTCGCATGTTTAATTATAACAAATTAATGCGAGCCTGAAGTTCATTGCTACGTGTTTGAAACAAGTTTATGGATTCTTCGCGCTTTTCCACGATGGACGACAACCGTACTAACAATATTGTTTATTGTTCATTATTTATTGATAACAATCACTTCGTTTTTGGTTTTAGATTCGAATAAAAAAACCCCAACTAAGCATTTTGCATATCTTTCGTAATACTTCGTGTAACTTTCGGTTGATCAATGTTCAAATTTCTTCATGGACCACCCAAATTTTTTCGCGGACTATCAATGGTCCGCGGACCACCGGCTGCCGACCATTGCTCTAGAATACAGTAAGACCCCGCTTAACGCTGTTTCGATATTACGCGGTAGTATTGGAATTCCCCGAGATCGCACGCAGCGTTGGGATTCCCCTAACGCATGTTTGCTGCGTCACAGTTGATTTATGATCGGTCATCAACTTTATTGTGTGTATATAGATATAAACATATTATTTTATTTTATTGTGATAAATACGGCATTTTTTAGTTTTTAAAATGGGTGATTGCAAAAAAAAAGAAATTAAAGCGACAAGAAAAAAGCATTTCGCTGGAAACTAAAATGCAGGTGCTCAGATGCAGGTGAACGGCAATCTGATATCGGCACTGCATTAAATTTGTCAACTTCAACAATACGGACAATTTTAAAAAATAAAAAAAAATCGTATCATCAGCAACTACAACCACAACGACTTCGGCAACAAAAATTACCCGTACCAGAAGCAATGTGTTTGAGGAAATAGAAAAACGACTTTCCATCTGGATTGACGATGAAGTTGAACGCAATATGCCATTAAGTCAAGCAATTATAATGGAAAAAGCGTGAAAAATTTTTTAACCATATTCAGAATGAAAAAGGCGACACGAGGGAAAATTTCGTAACTAGTCGTGGGTGGTTTAATCGATTTAAAAACAGAAACAATCTTCATAACATACAGGTTACTGGAGAAGCGGCAAGTGGAGATACAAAAGCAGCTGTAGCATTTCCAGCAACATTAAGAGCAATCATTGAACGAGGGAATTATCCTCCTGAATTAGTTTTCAATGTTGATGAAACGGGCCTTTTCTGGAAGAGAATGCCAAAACGTACATTTTTATTCCGTGAAGAAAAGCGAGCATCAGGATTTAAAGCTACAAAAGTTCGTTTAACACTTCTACTGGGTGGTAAAGCTAATGGAGACTTTAAATTAAAACTACTGCTTGTTTATCATTCCAAGACCCCAAGAGTAATGAGA